GATACGATCGGACAATAATGAAAGAAACGTCATCTAGAATTTCGATTACTACCTTGCAGCAAAATGCCCCAAAACTGACCTGGATTAGAAAGAAGAGCCAGTGAAGGCAAGTCAAGTTCCAAGGGCTCCATGGCCCAGGCATACATCGGTTGCTCCCAATCCGAGGAGGACTTGCCACCACGTAGGTTAGCAATCACGTCGACTTCATCATAATCATCGAAGATGACATTAGTTGAGGGTAGGTGAGTATTGATGTAATCCATCGGATAAAGCCCAGTCTAGACAGCAGAATTTGTCCGTTAATAAAACAACAGATACAAATACAAATCTGCGGGCAATTCAGCTTTCAGGACACCTACCATCGGTATGCCACCGGTCAAGGCCTCTGGCACCGGTTCGGTCAGGTAAGCGGGCATTGACAAGAGATCACCCGATTTTGTGAACTCTGGGTCCACAGGGATGAGCTGTTCCCTCGGGAAGTCTTCTTCCTCTTCCTGTTCGTCCTCGGTTCGCGATAAGCCTTTCAGTTGTAGACAGGTTCTGTTGGGCGCATCCGGTCGGTGCTCCTTTAAACAGAGCAGTAGTTATGCGAAAAAAGAAAAGAAAAGAATACCTTCATCCATTTACTCAGAAGGCGATGTAGTGCCGCGTCCGACAACGGCAACATGGCCAGTTCCCTCCCCTCCAAGACATCGAATTGAGTAAAGGACTCAGCCAGCCAACGGGGCTCTTCCAAGAGCGGATACTTCTGCAGCTTTTCATCCCGAACAATGGACGGGGCTCGATCAGAGAGGACTCCACTCACTGCAGAGTTGAGTTCGCGCAGACAGACCTCCAGTTCACTCTCGCCCGTCTCCCAGGAGGGTTTGGAGGCGGCTGAGAAGAGTTTACCAGCATATCCACTGGTTTCCGGGGCCCAGGACGGAAGTTCTCTCGTCGGACGACCAATTAGCTCGTCTAACAAGCGATCCTCTTCTTGGCGGGCCATCTCCGCCCTGGCCTCATCTGATTGGTTCATGCTGCTGGCCAATTTAGCCAATCGCTGAAGTAGCCTCTCCGCTCTCCACCTCTGGACAACCTTCGTCACAGCAGCCCGAAACCTGCGAATGGCTTTCTCCTGACGTCTCCAGTCGCGTCGTTGAGCCGCCACCTTGAGCTGGTAAAAGTCGAAAGCAGTGGGTGCTTCCAACCAATCGTTGTACTGACCAACTTCTACAATAGGCCTCCAAGTGTTTGGATCGCGATCGCAGGCTGTTTCTGGATCCTAGTGAAGAGGATGAGGATTCAAAAGAGGCCTTTCAGAATGCAGCTAGACCCACAAAACAGTGGAATCAGGTAGTAGTCAAGCAACACTGGGGAGTTTCGGACAAACGTCCGGTCAACGACTAAGACGGTAGGAATTATTCTTAGGAAATTGGTCAAATTAGGGCACTCTCTAAGACACCCCAAATAAGGGGATTTAGTTTCACATTTTACTACAAGTAAGACTACTTTTCCGTCTGCAGAATAAACCAAGCGACACATGGAGTTTAGGTTTTACGGGAAAACTGCCATTTCTACCGAGGGTTTCAAAAACACCACTTCGAGAACTGGTGGTTTAAGGAGTAGGATGCAAATAAAAGCCGCACAGCTCTCATCTTCTTTAAAATGCGTTGCTGATTGTTAAGTGAAGTGTCTTCGGCCAGTTATATGCGATCGAAATGGTTACGCAGGACCGGCAACAAACAATCAACGCGCAAGAAGGCAATTACCGTTAATTGCAGTTGTTTTTTTGCAGTTATGACTGTATCCTATAAATACTGCAAACTCCTGTGCACGTATTACCCGTTTC